TGAACATCATCATGGCATACATATACGTCAATGGCATGGATAGATGCTCATGCTTTCAATCACTGGTTTGTTTGGACCAGACTGAATTAAACTATAGGCCATTGTGATACAGCTGAAATATTGCAGAGTGCTGGGTTAAGGGTCTGTTGGGTTAAGGGTCTGTTGGTTCAAAAGTCCATTTTCAAATACCATAACAGCAGACTTCAAGGACCCATGGATATGTGTATACAGGGATTATATTTGGTTGGTTTGTTGTTTAACGCTGCACTCAGCAATATTCCAGCTATATGACGGCGGTCTGTAAATAATCGAATCTGGACCAGACAATCCAGTGATTAATATCATGAGCATCGATCCAAGCAGTTGGGATCGATGACATGCATCAAGCAAGTCAGTGAGCCTGACCACCCGATTCCGTTACTCGCCTCTTACGACAAGCATTCAGTCACTGGATTGTCTGGCCCAGACTCGATTATTGACAGACCGCTGTCATAGAGCTGGAATATTTTTGAGTGCATCGTTAAACAACAACAACAACAACAACTGATAGTACATACTCACTATGAAACCCACTCCCTTGATGTTTATACTTTGTTTCTCTATTCTCCATCAGTCATAATCCCCTACGGGGCGGTCGGGTAGCCTAGTGGTTAAAGCGGTCGCTCGTCACGACGAAGACCCAGGTTAGATTCCCGACATGGGTACAATGTGTGAAGCCCATTTCTGGTGTCCCCCGCCATGATATTGCTGGAATATTGCTAAAAGCGGCGTAAAACCATACTCACCCACCCATAATCCCCAACAGTTTTGTTTCTTCTGAGTAATCATACTGCAACTGCTTGATCGACCATCTCCTTGGAAACACTGTTTGCTCGAATACAAAGGTAGGTTGTTTGATACGGCTGAGCGCATCATACGAAGACGTTAAAAAAAATGGTACTTGTTGTTACCCTGCCTAGCTTTCAGCATTATGGGGATTATAGGACAGGTCAGCTCAGAGTATACTGTGTCTGAGTAGGGTATCCATATTAAACTGCGGCATGGCGTCTCTCAGTGGGCAGGCATCATAAAACAGTCATTAGTCAGCACTAGTACAATCCGCTACACAGACCCAGACCCAGATACACATGCATTCACGTCGCCATAAAAATGCAATAATCTTGAACGAGATGTTAAACCCAATTTCACCTCACTGATTGATCCAAGGTGGACCTGACAATGGTCAGGAAGCACTCACACCTATAATTGACATACGACTGTGTTGCGGAGATCCCGCTGTGACAGATATTGTATTGCCTTGATTGCTGCAGCCGGTCCAGCCTTGATGGAACCCTCAGTCTTCTAAACCCGCTGCTTATCAATCAGGTCAATCTCCTCTTCAACAAAGGCTTCTAAATCCCACATAGCAGGCACCAATTTATGATCTCAAACACATAACAAGCGCTAATCTGTGACCTCACAAACGTTACCTCCTGTAAAAGGTATTTCTAACAAGGCAGAACATTAACTTTTGTGGAGAAACGCTTTGGGCCGATTAGTGTCTTACCAAGTTTGATCAAGACTTGAAAACTAAGTTTGTTGTTTTCCTATTCAAATCTTGTGTATATCAATCTAGCAGTTAAGGATTTCTGCCAATATTGTGTTCACTGCACAACTCAAAATGGTGAGTATCGGGAGTTTTTAACGACATACTTAATGACATGATAAAAGCAAGAATCATTGATTAAAGAGTCAATTAGTCAATCAAATTCAAATCAAATGTTTAGGTAATGATATGGGAAAATAGGGTTCAAGAAAGTCCAAATTCCAGGGACTCCTTTCCTTCATTGTGTCCAGCTATATGCAGTGGCCTGCAAATAATGAAGTCTTGACCAGACAATCCAGTGATAGATATTATGATTTGTTTGTTTGTTGTTAAACACCACACTCAGCAACTTTCCAGCTATATGACAGCGGTCTGTAAATAATCGAGTCTGGACCAGACAATTCAGTGATTGACATCTTGAACATCGATCCACGCATTTGGGATACGATGACATGCATCAACCAAGCCAGTGGGCCTGACCACTTGATCCCGTTAGTCGCCTACGACAAGCATGAGTTGCTGAAGACCTATTCTAAACTGGATCTTCACAGGGGTTGGACAAGGATGGGTTGCTGAAGACCAATTCTAACCCGGATCTTCACGGGTCTTGACATCATGAGCAATGATTCACACCATCCGGGACGATGACACGCAATCAACCAAGTCACAAAACTTGACCATCCAACCCATCTACTTGTCCCTGTGAGCAGCTTAGGTTGCTGGGGACCTATTCTGACTTTGAATCCCACACTGGGACTTACTGTATATGTCTGCAGATAAGCCGAATTTTGAGGACCAGAAAAAAAATTCTGTTGATTCGGCTTATCAACGGGATACGCTTTCATGATAGTATTTTTCAGATCATGATCTGTCAGAAGCATCACCTGAATGACGGTCTGATAGATTACAACTTCCCGAAAGTTTGGAAGTTGCCACGACTACAGCCGTTATTGTTATAAATGATCAATAAAGTTATTATTATACACCAATGTTGTCATTATTAAAAAATTGTTGCATGTTACTATTTCCGATCATAAGTTTTCAATTGAATGTTCAAGGTATATTGTTCTCTCACCGGTACTTGTCTCTCAAGATGATGGTAACAGGCTGGCTGTCACACAAGAAGGCTCAAGGTTTACGAACCACTGTCTGACATGTAAGAGATTTGACATTTTCTGGTACCGTATTCAACATAATAAGCACCCAGGGCGCTCTCAAAATTTGAAATAGTATTTGAATAGTAGTTGAATTATTAGTACATTATTTTGGTGAAAAAGAACAGAGTTGAAAGATCGTAAATTTCGTGGTTTATGCTGACAGCCTGAAATGTTTATATACGACAGATATATTTTTCCAGAATTTAATTTCCCATAATCAAAGATGCATATAACACACGTATTATACACAAATAAATAAGTCTTGTGTACATTGATCATACGGAAGGGGTGCTAGCTGGGATTGTTCATTAGCCAATGTATTAGCAAATATCGCCTTGGGCGCTTATTAGAGCGGGGCGCTTATTACGTCGAATACGGTAAGCTGATATTGATTTACAGACATCTGCCAGCTGTCGGTAGCTGTAAGTCACAGATTGTACAACATAAGATATATAGATACAGCATCTAATCCCGGGCATCGATACATCCTGTATACATCATGATACACGTGCAGGGTTCAAAAGGTGGCCGTTTCATCAACACTCAACAGCTGACGCATACAGTGGGGGTGTACCCAATAGGGCTCTAAGTATTGTCGGATTATATGTTTTCGGACATCATATGATTTCGGACAGCCATGTGGGTTGTGGTGTCACACAGACATTGTAAATCCTCAGATGATGGCTTGATTTTAAGATAAAGTTGTCTTTCATAAGTGAGTGAATTGTTTTACGGTTGTTCTTGTGATTAGCGCGAAAATTATGAATGTCTCTTAAGCATCAGAAACCCCTTAATTTGATTGGGATACACTTATCTTCCCGAGGCAAGGGAGTGAACTGACTATAAAAATCCAGTTTCCACCCTTGCCGAACTGGGCTGGTATTATGGAGTTACATTTTGGCTGGACTAACGAGTCCATGCACAGCTGCATCAAAATTGTGCAACGAAATCGAAACCCGCTTGTGATTTTGGTTGATTGCAGGATTTGCAAAGCATGTGCACCGCCAACTTGTCAACAAATATTTTCTAAATCATCATCATGCAAGACTCGTTTTATCACATGAGATCTTGATTTTCGATCAGATTGTCTTGACTGGGCGCTGCCATTTTGTTTGAGGCAAATGCAAGTGATACGAGAGGTGGAATCTGATTGGTCCATAGGAGAGGCATAGAAGGGACATAACTTGTAATAGCCACAGGTGGCACTACGATCAAGCCCAGGAATTCCTGGGAAGGGTGGAAACTGGACTTTTAAAGTCAGTTAACTCTCTAGCCTTGGGAAGATGGGATACACCGTACAAGCAACTTCTTTACTTACTTCTCATGCTCTCAAAATTAGAAATAGGGGGCTCTTATTCGAATTTTATTTTGGTGAAAAACAACAGTTGAAAGATCATAAATTTCATGGCTTATGTTCACAGCCTGAAATGCTCATATACAACAGATATATATTTCCAGAATTAAATTTCCCATAATTAAGGATGCATATAACACACGTATTATACGCGAATAAATAAGTCTTGAAGACATTGATCAATCGGAAGGGGTGCTAATTGGGATTGTTCACTAGCCAATATATTGGCAAATATCACCCAAAGGTTGCTTTTTTAAAATACTGTATTTGACCTAATAGGTGCTTATTAGAGCGGGGCGCTAATTATGTCGAATATGGTATATCAGTGTCTAAAAATGCACAGGGTGTCCTTGAGGATTGATGTTACAATATTTGAATCTGTTCCTTTGAATTGAATCTCCAGACCCTGAAGGACATACACAATCAGTCAAACAAGAAAAAATACAACTTTATGGACAAGAACTTCTGGTTTATTGCATGTAGCAATGTTTTGATGTCGCTTGATAACAGGGTAAAGTTGAAAAGTTGCTAAATGCATTATAGTTGTTATACACAGAGTTGTTTGTTTTCTTATTTACTCACCCACTTCTAGCATGCCAATCAAACTATCAGTGATATGCTCAAGCTTTTCATGGGGCATGAACAGGAATTTCATTAACACAAAGGTATTTACATTTTATGTCATTGATGGCCAAATGTTGTTGAAGCCTAATGAGTGAGTGAGTGAGTGAATATGGTTTTACACCGCTTTTAGCAATATTCCAGCAATATCATGGCGAGGGACACCAGAAATGGGCTTCACACATTGTACCCATGTCGGGAATCGAAACCCGGGTCTTTGGCGTGACGAGCCAATGCTTTAACCACTAGGCTACCCGACCGCCCCGTTGAAGCCCAATGAATGACACACACAATATGTGCCTGCTGTGTGTGATTCTTGGTACAGTAAACTTTACCAAAGATTGGTTTGTTGTTTAACGCCGCACTCAGCAATATTCCAGCTATATGACAGCAGTCTGTAAATAATCAAGTCTGGACCAGACAATCCAGTGATTAATATCATGAGCATCGATCCACACAATTGGGATTGATGACATGCATTAACAATGTCAGCGAGCCTGACCACCCGATCCCGTTAGTCACCTCTTACGGTAAGGTGCGTGACTCATAGAATGTCCGGCTTTTTAGGGGAGTCCTTATGTTAAGCATTTCAGGTTAAGTTGCATCCATAGTCCTGATAGGGATTCTATCAGGACCCTATAGTTACATCACCTTCAATGATAAGCCGAGATGTTTGAAATGAGTTCACATTAACAAGGTTTCACAGTTGGCTACATGTTTGAAACAGTGTATCACAACATAGACATGACCCCACGACCCCAGCAACCTGACACCGACACCAGAACCAGCACTAACACCGACACTAGAACCAGCACTAACACCCACACAAGCACCAGCAGTTACACCCATACAAGCACCTGCACTAGCATCCACACAAGCACCAGCACTAACACCCACACAAGCACCAGCACTAGCACCCACACAAGCACCAGCACTAACACCCACACAAGCACCAACACTAACACTCACACAAGCTCCAGCACTAACACCCATACAAGCTCCAGCACTAACACCATAAACAAGCTCCAGCACTAACACCCGTAAAAGCTCCAGCACTAACACCCACACAAGCACCTGCACAAACACCCATACAAGCACCTGCACTAGCATCCACACAAGCTCCAGCACTAACACCCACACAAGCACCAGCACTAACACCCACACAAGCACCAGCACTAACACCCATACAAGCTCCAGCACTAACACCCATACAAGCACCAGCACTAACACCAACACAAGCTCCAGCACTAACACCCACACAAGCACCAGCACTAACACCAACATAAGCTCCAGCACTAACACCCACACAAGCACCTGCACAAACACCCATACAAGCACCTGCACTAGCATCCACACAAGCTCCAGCACTAACACTCACACAAGCACCAGCACTAACACCCACACAAGCACCAGCACTAGCACCCACACAAGCACCTGCACAAACACCCATACAAGCACCAGCAATAGCACCCATACAAGCACCAGCACTAACACCAACACAAGCTCCAGCACTAACACCAACACAAGCACCAGCACTAACACCCACACAAGCACCTGCACTGACACCCACACAAGCACCAGCACCCACACAAGCTCCAGCACTAACACCAACACAAGCTCCAGCACTAACACCCACACAAGCACCAGCACTAACACCCATACAAGCTCCAGCACTAACACCCGTACAAGCTCCAGCACTAACACCAACACAAGCTCCAGCACTAACACCAACACAAGCTCCAGCACTAACACCCGTAAAAGCTCCAGCACTAACACCAACACAAGCACCAGCACTAACACCCACACAAGCACCAGCACTAGCACCCACACAAGCACCAGCACCCATACAAGCACCAGCACTAACACCCACACAAGCACCTGCACAAACACCCATACAAGCACCAGCACTAGCACCCACACAAGCACCAGCACCCATACAAGCACCAGCACTAACACCCACACAAGCACCTGCACAAACACCCACACAAGCACCAGCACTAACACCCACACAAGCACCAGCACTAGCACCCACACAAGCACCAGCACTAACACCGATACAAGCACCAGCACTAACACCCACACAAGCACCAGCACTAACACCCACACAAGCACCAGCACTAACACCCACACAAGCACCAGCACTAGCACCCACACAAGCACCAGCACTAACACCGATACAAGCACCAGCACTAACACCCACACAAGCACCAACACAAGCACCAACACAAGCACCAGCAATAATGCAAACACACGCTCCAGCCTCTAACCTTGACCTCAAGGCCGGGACTGTTAGAAGTCTCTCCTGAATTATTTACCTGTCTTTGATTAGCATCTGGACCACAATGTTTGGGGAATAGGAAGCAGACATGCGCAGCTTTAGCACAAGAGGACACTTGGCTATGACTTGTAGAATTGGAATAACTGCTCGACTTTCTTCTGTTATATTTGTTAGTTTGAACATGAGACTAAAAATGTCTGCACCTTGTCCTGTATCTAGTTAGTGCCTTTTCTAAAACAGGACTATTTTCAGGTTGTGACTGAAGTTGTCAGTGGGTGTGTGGTAAGGGTTAATACTTCTCACCTCCTAGTTTACTATAACTATAAGCACGGCCTGTTAAGTGCTTGTGCTTACAGTGAGTGAGTGAGTGAGTATGGTTTTACCCCGCTTTTAGCAATATTCCAGCAATATCACGGCGGGGGACACCAGAAATGGGCTTCACACATTGTACCCATGTCGGGAATCGAACCGGGGTCTTCGGCATGACGAGCGAACGCTTTAACCACTAGGCTACCCGACCGCCCCGCCTGTGCTTACAAGTGACACAGACAAGTACAATGTCACACAACATCCTTCACAGGGAACTACGGGAACTGTATATTAACATACCTGTATCACTTACAGATAACATCATGGGCATGCGATACAAACATATCTTTACCAAGTGTAAGTTGATCTCTGTACATGTAATCTTACCTATATAACATGTCCTACCCAGTTGTCGATCACCCGCTGTTAAAGCACTAGCACCTGTACCCAAACATTGCAGGCAAAGAACCGACAAGTCGAATTCTATAATCAACGGTGTTCATTGATACTGCAGTCTAAACAGCCTCTTAAAGATTGAGTGAGTGAGTGAGTGAGTGAGTGAGTGAGTGAGTGAGTGAGTGAGTGAGTGAGTGAGTGTGGTTTTACGCCGCTTTTAGAAATATTCCAGCAATATCACGACAGGGGACACCAGAAATGGGCTTCACACATTGTACCCATGTCCGGAATTGAACCCGGGTCTTCAGCGTGATGAGCGAACGCTTTAACCACTAGGCTACCCGCCCGCCCCTCTTAAAGATTAGTATCTTTGCCCATAACCCGGAAAACCCGTTAAACATACCTGCAGGTTGTAAACATATATAATTGTCATCGCCTACTCAGGGGATACAGATCTATCCTTGTGTTTGACACGAGACACACGATGAGTATCAGGAAATAGCAGATCTTAGTCTGTCTTCACAAGGCATCCCACCCATCAAACTGCTCTCTACACCCAGTAAATGTCTCCCAGGAACACGATACTGTCAATCAGCTCCTAACATGGAGCCATGATTATCTCATGTAACGGACCATTAGGCAACTTCAGTCACAAATTAGAGGATCTTGTAGCTCCTAAACACTTAAGTACCAGGCTTACTTTCAATATAGCTTCTTTCAAGTTCTTAAATCTATTTTGTCTACATCTTGATATCTTCATTTTAAAAATAGCGTTTGTTATTTGTCTCAGTGTTGGGTGTTGAGTGAGTTAAGTGGGTGAGTGAGTTGTGGATTGAGGGGTTGAAAAGTTGAATAGTTGAGTGAGTGAGGGAGTTAGTGGATGTGTAGTTGTGTGAGTGAGTGAATGAGTGGCTGAGTGATTGGTTGGGTGATTGGTTATGTGGTTGAGTGATTTAGTGAGTGAGTGAGCGGTTGTGGTTGAGTGAGTGAGGAAGTGGCTTACTGGTTGAGTGGTTGAGTGAGTGAGTGAGTGAGTGATTTAGTGAGTGAGTGAGTGAGTGAGCAGTTGTGGTTGAGTGAGTGAGTGAGGAAGTGGCTAACTGGTTGAGTGGTTGAGTGAGTGGTTGAGTGCGTGAGTGGTTTAGTGAGTGGTTGAGTGAGTGGTTGAGTGAGTGAGTGAGTGAGTGAGTGAGTGAGTGAGTGAGTGAGCAAGCTAATTTTACAGCTGCTTTATGCTATATTCCAAGAGTGAACACACATAGGGATTTCACCTAGATCCTTGGTGTGACAAGGCAATGCTATTCCCCCCAGATGGATGGATGGATGGATGGATGGATGGATGGATGGATGGACAGATCACAATTAGGATGTGGTTTGAAGAAGATGTCATCATGTACATCTCTATGGGCATTTAGACGTTGGGTTGAGATCTGTTCAATTTCAAGGATATTGGTTGATCGTCATCTAAAATGTATTGAAGATTTTTTTCAAAATTGTTCCTGATCCAGGAGAGTCCTGTCAAATTTGATAGACCATGAAACTATGTTCCACCTGTCTCTCTCAGCTTCTTTTGTGAAGCGTATTGGCACGGGTGGCCCAGTCGTCAAAGGCTCTGCAACTTCGCTGTGCAGAATTGTGTTCCTTGGACGTGACATTAAACCTCAATCTCATTAAAATCAGATCTTAGTTTTCTCTACCGCTAAACAAAGATCTGAGGACATCCCATTACGGGTCATGTCAGAACGACCTTTCGCGAATTTTGACCGACCAATGAAATGACTGACAAGAAATCGACATTAGCCAATGAGAAGGCAGCTTTCTCGAGCTTTACGACACTAGTTTCAAACTGGCGACTACGCTTCGAAACATATTTTGACGTATTCTCGATTAAGAAAATTAAAACTGATAAGAAGAACATTCTGGAATGGCCTAGTGATGGCCTAGATTGTATGGATATTACCATAAATCCTGTAACTATCGTTCAGAATACCCCGTGTTAAATATTTCATGGTTGCATGATTAGAAAACTCATTTCGACTGTCACTTTCATGATCTGGTAAGCGATGCTCTGATTGGTTGGATGAAAGGTCGTTCTGACGTGACCCTTAATGGGATTTCCTCAGATCTTTCTTTAGCGATAGCGAGAACTAAGATCAGATTTTGATAAGATTGCATTAAACCTATGATCACTGGGCTTCAATTCCCCGTTTTCTCAGATTATGTTTCAAGGTCTGTCAGCACCATGCCCATGCATGTGGGTTTCGCCAAAGTGGTGAACGTCAAAGACCTGCATCACTTCAGGTTTTTTTTCCCACATCAAGATGACATGCTGTGATATGACTGCAATACTGTTAGCAGCATTAAACCAACTCACTTACTCGCTTTTGTGAAGCATATCCACAACAGAAGCTGACATTCATAAAACCTTCATTTGTCATTCACGGATTTTACAGAATCACCATAGAAAACTTAACATGCAGAGAGTGTTTGCATAACAGCCGAATACACAGGTCTCTCTAAGGACCACTGCAACATCTGTGCACAATCACACCAACTAGGTCACATCACTTCAACAGCAGTTTCACATAGAGTACGACTGTCACATACATGAAGGTGGCACCCCAAAGGGCACCTGCCTGAGGGCCAGGGCAGGTGCAGCAAGTGTCACATACTTGAAGGTGGCACCCCAAGGTCTGACAGTGCACCTGCCTGAGGGCCTTAATGGACCTTGAGCAACAAATCTGATGTGTACTTTGAGAGAGCTACATCATCCCCGGAACCAAGGAGTGGTAAGAATAAGTGGCCGAGGTAGGAGAGTGTCGTACCCAACACCTACAGTTACACTACTTTCAGATGAATTTGACAAGAAATAAATGGACTTTGAGCAACAAATCTGATGTGTACTTTGAGAGAGCTACATCAACCCCGAAACCAAGGAGTGGTAAGAATAAGTGGCCGAGGTTGGAGGGTATTCATCTTCCCGAGGCAAGTGAGTTAACTGACTATAAAAGTCCAGTTTCCACCCTTGCCAAACTAGGCTGGAATTCCTGGGCTCGATCGTAGCGCCACCAGTGGCTATTACAAGTTATGTCCTTCCATGCCTCTCCTATGGACCAATCAGATTCAACCTCTTGTATCACTTGCATTTGTTTCAAACAAAACGGTGGCACCCAGTCAAGACGATCTGATCGATAATCAAGATCTATATTGTGATAAAACGAGTCTTACATCGCGAAGTGCATCAAATCACGTGAGCACCTTGATTAAAATCATGAAAAGATTTAGAAAATATCTGTTGACAGCGAGTTAGCGGTGCACATGCTTTGCAAATCCTGCAGTCGACCGAAATCTGCATGACACTTTACAACCGGATTTTGATTGCGGGGCGCGATTTTGATTGGACTGTGCATAGACTCGTTAGTCCAGCCAAAATGTAACTCAATAATACCAGCCTAGTTCGGCAAGGGTGGAAACTGGACTTTTATAGTCAGTTAACTCTCTTGCCTCGGGCCGCCTCCGTGGTCTTGTGGTAGAGCGTCCGCCCGGAGAGCGGAAGGTCCGGGGTTCGATCCCCGGCCGCGTCATACCAAAAGACATTAAAAGATGGTACTTGTTGTTACCCTGTCTGGCGCTCGACATTAAGGGGCTAAAACAAGGACTGGTCGGCTCGGGGTCAGTATACTGTGTCTGAGTGGGGTATTCATGTTAAACTGCGGCATGGTATCTCAGTGAGCTAACACTATAAATCGGCATCAGTCCGGACTAGTACAAGCAGCCACACACACACACACACATACACACCAAGTTTCTTATCACCCATTTGTTTACCGGGATTTGCCGGAGTGTACGGTGTAATTTTATTTCTGCACATAATATTAAAAAAAAAATGTTTCCAAATTACTGAATCCGCTAGAGGGCGATGCGCACTATAATCAAGAAAATATAGTACTCTGCCTGGGGCTAAAATAAGGATTAGTCGGCCTAGAGTCAGTATACTGTGTCTGCAGCATGGTATCTCAGCGGGCTAGCACTATAAAATCTGCATCAGTCCGGACTAGTACAAGCAGCCACACACACACACGTGCATGCACGTCGCTATATAAGTGCAATAATCTTCGACGTGACGTTAAACCCAATTTCACCTCACCTCACCTCTTGCCTCGGGAAGATGGAGAGTATCGTACCCGACACCTACGGGAACGGAAGTCTCC